GGAGGAGGGGAGGGAAGAGGTGAGGAGGGGATGGAGGGGAGGGAGGAGAGGAGGAGGTGAGGAGGGGAAGGAGGAGGGGAGAGGGCAGGTGTGGAATTGGATGAGCTTGAGTTTTCGCATGAGTAGACACAAGCACAATATTATCAGCACAATAAAGGTTTATCTAATGCAAAGAAAAAGTGAAACTTTTAGTTTTTGTCAGAGTTTTACCGCACTTGCAACACAATAAGGCCATACAAGTGCCGAAGATTATTAGAGGTGTAACAAGAGAGTGGCAAACACAAAGAAAGGGGAGGTAAGGACAACAGATGTTTGATGTAAAGAGGAGCAAACAGCACCAGAGCAACCGCCAACCACCCACTTCTCATAAGTAAATTCTCATAATAAAAATAAACCAGAAGAGAAACCTTTAGTTTAGTTTAGGTAAAAATGTTACTGCAGTTTCAACACCATAAAGTCATATGAGTGCCGCAGATTAAAGATGTTACAAGAGAGTAACAAGTACAAACAAGAAGGAGGGCAGTTAAGGACGACAGATGTTTGATAGGAAAGAAGAAGCAAACCACGCCAGAGCATCCGTCTACCTCGTTCGAAGGGTTAACCAAACCAAAGGAAGTTGCAAAGCATCAAATGGTCGCTTTTAAGCACAAGGGGGCTCTCCCGAAAAATGCTGTTTTGAGAAAATCGAAGGTAAACTTTTTGTCCCTTGTTCTGTTTCTTTAAAAAAACAAGGAGAGTTTTCTCTATAACCAAACAAATATACACACCAATGGATCCAAACATCTTCTACAGGTAGGGCAATGCCCACTTTTGGTGTAGGTCAAGATTTCTGGAAACCACCGAAATCTGGGTTAGCCCGCTTGTTCTTAAAAGCGACCAAATACATGTTTAGTTAGTTTTCGTTTTAGTAGAGGTTTTACGGAGCTCGCAACTGCATATAAGGTCATATGAGCGCCAAGGGGTGGATGTCAACAGAGAAGTCCTTACAGGGAATCAGACTTCCTCTGCTCATCTCTCTGGCTTCAACAGCACAAAGTCTATTTCGACTATCAAGGTAACCCGGAATTAGCGGGTCCCAAGAGTGTGACAAACATATAAAAGAAGAAGAAGAAGAACAATGACGATAGTAAGGATTAGGAAAGAAAAAGCATTAGTTCCCTGTCGTAGTTCAGGCACAGTTATGAGCTTGACCTTGTTGGATCAGCCCATTTACAATTCTGCTGTGCATTAGAACGAGAAACGCC